TGGTGAGCCCAATTACAGAGCCATGATGAGACAATAAATTCTTAATATTGCTCCCCTGGCAATTTGTACTTGTGCAGCATTTTCTTAGGTAGAACCATATTATGGAAGCAATAATGTTTTCACCAGCATAAGCACAAATGGATCACGTCTTATATATTCTGGCTGAGCCGGCGAAGTCTCAAGAAATTAATTCAGTCCATGAACAACTCCTCACAACCTACAAATATAAAAGCCTACAGCATAAAAATGCAATAGGTAGAGACCAGCTTAGCTTGATTACTTCTTTTTACTGCCTTAAATTCCAACAGCTGAAGCCGGAAAGAACTGGACTCATAAAATCGCAAATAAGAAACGTTTACTGGATATTGCATTAAAGACAGGATGTACCACGAAACATGGGTGGAATTAGTTCTTAAGCTAGTTACCTTTTCCTGTTTAAGATGACTGCTGATACAATTCCAGACGCAAGGTACCAGAGAACAAAACGTCTATATTTAAGAGAGTTGTGCTGTCACAGGAACTTCTACCGTCCCTACCTCCCCCTCCAAGCTTTCTAGTCCCAAAAGTGGGTAAGCACAGGTCAGACAAGGGATAGGTAAGTCACAAAGCATTGCTTTGTCCAGCTATACCATTAATAAAATGCTAATACCAGCTTACTCCCCCTTCTCTGAAATGCAAGTATCTTGTCAATCAGATGAGATAGCTAGCTGTGCTCAACACTGTTGGGCTGCTTGCTCTTAAGTCCATCATCCTGGTTTCTTGCTCTGCTCTAAATTTTAGTTTGTATTTCTGCATCCGCAATAAAATCCCTCCATAGCTCATCAAAGAAATATAGCTGCAAATATGTGACACAGAGTGATTAGGAGTGGTGAAACTGAGCATATGAGCAGCCTGGTCTCGCTGCAGGGCTAAGATACCTGAGGACAGCCCAGAACAATGTTAGGGTGATGTGATTTACTGAGACTGTAAAGAAACATTTTTCTCCCTAGACCCTGTAACCTGCTGCTGACCATAGGATGCAGCTCAGACGGAGTCTAGAGGAGAGACAATAAAATCTCATTAGGGATATGCATTTTTTGCTCCTGGCAAGTGTGTTTAGAGAAAGACAGCAAGTGACAGAGCGCATTCTCTGGATCTCTCTTTCACCAGACAGAACAGCATTTGTCCCTTAGCCTGTTGCCGATGACCCTAATGGATATCTGACTTGGGTGCAGTCTAGCACAGTCTCCTGTTATAGCTGGCAGCCAGCATCAGGTGCCTCACAGCCAAGGGCGAGTGCGAGACCTCCTCATTAGGCAGGTACTAGATAGTCACAAGTTTCAATCTTTAAAAACTAGAAGCTGTATTAAGTCCTTTCCAATTACTTCCCAAATATGTGTTTTCTGGCAGCTTGAATTTGCATTATTAAGATTGTTCATCTGTGTCAAACCAGTGCTGGTAATTGCCAAGCTGCTTGTGGATGTTTGTCAGTATGAAACTCTTTCAATCCCTATTCTTAAGCACCTGCTGATTCAGCTGTGAGCTCATTTATCTTTGCAGTGCAACTACCACTATTCAGTGACCCAGTCGCACTGCTGACTACTGCCCCTGAACAAAAGTCATGAGATAACACAGTGAAGCGTAGATTGCACTAAAAATGAGTGAAATCGTGGCTTAATAACAAAAAGCAGCTTGGGTCCCCAATACCTTCTAGTTACAGGTATTACACGCCATCCCCTTTGTGTTCAGCCTTAGAAAAGCAGTTAGTAAAAGAGCCCGTAAAGGAGTTGCCAATGTGATGGACAGATTCTGCTATCCTTAATTGCGTTATTTTAGTGCTGCCTTTATTTATGCTATATACATTATAAGCAAAGAGCACACTGAAATGAAGGTAAGATTAAGACAGAAGGTAAGAATTAGCTTAACAAATGCCAGGAATGGGAAATGAAAGAGGAAAGGTAAGAAGATGTATCAGCCTTAGCCCACCTTGTCTGCACAGCTTCAAGCCATAAAAACAGACATGCAAACAAGAAGTCTCACAGCTTCTGCAGTTAACATCATCTTATCATTACCAGGTGAATAGCTACCCCCAGCATCCCAGCAGCTCTGGAGGGAGAACTTCAAAAGGACATGACAGCAGAATGAAGTTTGGGGGAAGGATGAAACTCTTGTCAGTGAGTTTCTCCTTGAGCTAGGTTCCCAAGTATGCTGGCAACAGGGTAAATGTTACTTGTGTTTCACAACTCAGTAAACTGCATATTCCCCATAAGAATTTCATATCATTCCCACTTATTTATTTTTAGTTTATTGCATTAGAAGCAAGGATATTAATCTTGCTCTGTGCAAGAAATCTTACATTTCCTTCTAGGACATTTGAAAGTATTGCTTTTAGTTTAATAATACACTTTTTATGCTCAGCATGTTGCCTCCTCCCTGCCAATATTTCAGCTTCATCACTAATTCATGAACCATCGTTCGGGTGAGAATCAGCCCTAGACTGAGAAAAAGAATTCCTGCATTTATTTGTCACTCAGTTTATAAAAGATACTTTTCTCTTTAATAAGAGGGGGTTTTATTCTGAAAAATGATTATAAATTAGATTTACATTTGTACAGCGCATGTGTTATAGACCTAAACTAGGTAAAAGGGTATTATATCAAATGCTGACTAGTCTTCCTTTACGTGCAGGTAAGTCTGTAGTGGGTTTTTCAAAGCACCATGGAGAGTATCCAGCATCCACTGACATCTTGAAGTATCTTTAGAAAATCTGGCTCTCCACAAAGAGACATCGAAATAAACTATACCCAAAAACCCCTTCTATGACAGGAAATGTAATGAGCAAAATAAAGGTAGATAAAACTATGATCACGACACAAAGGGAGTTATTTGGGGTGCAGCTGTGTCATCTTTCATGCACATATTGCCAGGAGATAGCTGGGATACTGCCACTATAAAATTAAGTGTAATTGTCCCCGGACAACAAAATCTTTCTTAGGTAGAATCCAGTATCATTCCTTCTGCTCTCTAATTCTGCAGTGACTGACAGAACTGGTTTCCTAATGCAGGCTCTCCTGTTAATTTTATACTTTCTGATAAGGTACAAGAGCAATCCTTCCCAGAGTGCAGCTCACCATCACCATTCTCTCTCCTTTGCCAGCATTCAGCCTGAGAGATCTCAGGGCTCCTTCTGATCTTAATATTGCAAGTTATTTTTTCTTAAAGAGAATTACAAACAATTCTGAGAGGAAGGAATTAAAAAAGTCATATGCCCAACACTGCCCAAGTATGGGACTATGACCAGACAATAAAACAGAAGAGAAAAATCCCCTCTTGTACACTTAACATTCAAAGAGATTAATTCCAGCATAACTCCACAAACTAACCATATGGTGATACAACAGCAAGTTAATTGAAAGATCTTTTAAATACCAAACTGCAAAAAAACATGACTACAGTCTAAAATCTGCTTCTCTTGAGAGGGTAAATACCTCTGTTTAGTTTAGTTTACATTCCCCTGCCAGGGTTATTAGTGCCTTTACTGTCACTTTTAGATGAGCTCTGCATGGGAGGAGAATAACACAAAAATTATAGGTGAATTTTTCTATGTTCAGAGTTTATGTCTGCTCCAACCAACATTAGTGGAAGGAAGATCAATTATCCACTAACTGTAAGATATCAAGGTGTTGCTAAAAATTTATCAACTGTGCCACATACCTAAGAAAGATTCTCCACAATACAGGAGTATTTAAGGGGATCTTTATGGAAACACTAGATAAATGAAAGAAAGTCATGAGAAGAAACACAGCTTGTGTAAGATGACTTCAGAGAGACTTTGAGCTTGTCAGAGGTTTGTAAAGTTTATACTACAAAACTGAGCACACTGAAGAGAAATTTGTGACAAGTCTTCCTGTGTTATTGCAGTACATTGCCAATTTTATGGGCAAGAGCATGAAGATAACTGTAATTCATTTGTTATAGGCAAAATATTTGAGGCTCAGGATTTGCGAAAGCTTTAGATGCTTCACTACCTACCACAGCAGTAGATTCAATTAACATGTCACAAAACATGGTAAACTGAATGTGCTGCTCACAGCGAGGTGGTGATGAAGAGTGGGAGAAACTGGCACAAGTAAGACGAAGAAATAATTTGGATGGAAAAATGAGTAATTGCGGAGCTCCCACACAAAACCACCCCAGATGTTCTGGGCAACTTCAGATCTTTTCATTACGGAAACCCATCTACGATCAGCCAAGGGGAGGAGGCTCATTCCCTACAGCATCAGGAGCAGCTGTGGTTGTCCTGGCTGTATGACACCAAAGAGATGGAGACAGAGCCATGCAAGGTTTGTTTGTCTGTTTCGGACTGATTTGTTTTCTTTTTGAGTTGTGGCACACATTTTACCCAACCTTCTAATAGAGTATAGGTTTAACAGATTCCAGGATGATACTGAATGCCTTTTACACAGACCACAGACTGTTCCTACGAGGAGGTGGAAAGGTGGGAATAAACAAGGAGGCTCTTGCTACTGGGGAATAATATTACTCCATGGATATCTGAACAGTTGTGGTTCAATCACAGCTATAATAATGACCATATATAAGTGACCTGAAAGACACTACAAATCCAAAACCATAACTAAATTGGTAGCACACCAAAACGGACAATGTGATGTCATCTTACACAGCTGGACGTTTCAACCTGGGGAATATTTACAGGATCAGGCTCTTGCATTTTGACTGTGATGGTATATGAAAAGCATATGTAAGCTGACTAGAGATAAACACAGTTCCATGCAAGAAAGCACAGTATCCTGAGATTATACAATAACAGCAATGCCACAACATTGCAGAGAGAACGTTAACAGACCTTGGAATATGCTGAAGGTTGGGACAGTTTACACAATTGCATTGTGTTCTCTAACATCTATGGGAGGACCGTGTATTTCCAAGTCATTGCTTTCAACACAAGTATGTACATATCATTCTGCCCCAGTACCCAGATTATTTAATAAGACTGTTACCTTGTTCACACCATCTGCCATTGCTTGCAGTGTTAGTTCTCTAGGTCCATCCACAGTCTTTCCATTATCAGTTGGTCCCCAGCTGGCACTATATATATCTATGACTTGAGGCATATGACTGATAGAGGAAGCCTCAATAATGTCTGTCATAAATGGCTGGTCGAGCATACGAATACCTGTAGATTTAATCAACATAAACATGAATTATGCATTACCCAGCACAAGATGAAATCTCGGCACCTGCAGATGTCCCCCAGTTACAGATATTTTAATTCACTGACAGTTTCACCCACTCAGTAATTCCACACTCGCCATTCACATTTCACCAGGGTGTGCTTACCCAGCAGGATGGCAGCACTTAAGCACCCAGACACAGCAATGCAGTGTGGCCCAGAAAGAGAAAGCACTTTATTGTTAGCTTTCTAATTACATAGTATTTTCCATCTACTATTTGAAGACACTTTTAAAACAGTAGTATTCAGCAATCTCAGCATTTCTTAGCATTTAAATAATATTAATAGTATTTAAAATAGTATTTTGTAACAACTAGGGAAAAGGATTAAGGCCCACCCCATCTCTAATTTATACTAAGAGATGTGTTGACGCTTCGTTAGTTTTTCAAGTAATTTTTCTGTTTATTTTGGTCCTCTCCAGAATTTAATCAGAGAGGGGAAACACACTACACAACAATTTCCTGGAACAATATCATTGTGTCAACATGCAGATGCAATAGCAAAATATGGCCAGTATTTAGAGAAAAAAGCAAACTAAAACCTGCTTCCTTTAACCCATACTGCAGTAGAAATCAAGTTAGAGTTTAATCAATACAACCCTAGGACATGCCAACTTCATAAAACCTCCAAGTGTTGGCCCTAAGCAAGCCAGAGAGTGTGACAAAGACAGCAGCACAAGCCCTCACATCCATCATGCCCCACACATAGGACAGTTTCACTGACAGCCAACCTCTTGGTGGCCTTTGGATGAGACCTGAGTAACCAGGGTCACATTCCAACTCGCATTTGCAGCCTTGAGTTGAAGCTCAATTTTTCCCAACAGTTTTAGGACACAGGTGGGACTGAAATCAATACCACAGAGCCAAATAGTGTGAATTGCAGCGAGGACCCTGATTTAGAAGCCACTGCAAAATCCATGTGACAAGCGTGAGGCTAGAAAAAGTGGTATAAACTTCAAAAAGAATCCAGACCAAAGCTGAATATTCCTGATCTGCTAATTCAAGACAGAAATTATGAAGTCACACTCAATGAGTAAGAAATCCCTTCACATGCTTGTGAAACGCAGATCTGCACTGAAACCACAGAATTAATTATTGACCCTGGGGAGGTGGGGGAAGAACAGGAGGAGCCAAGCCATCTGGTTTGACTTCAGGGCAAAAAAAGAGGTACAGGAAGCAAAATACACGGTGCCCCAGAACCTGGGCTACAAACTTCTAATTCCACCTGCAAACATAGACCTTGAATCAGGACAGCAGCCGACTCTCAGCTCTAACAAGCTTCCAAGTTCCCACTGACCACACGGTGGTGCTACAGGTGCACACTGTCCTCAGGCAGGAATGGCTGGCTTTTCCAAAAATCGGTGGGCATTCTCCTACAAAGTGGACAAGTATGGAAGGCCATTTGTAGGCTGTTAGTCATCAGAAAAGGCCTTCACCTCTTGATTTTTAATCAACCAGCTTGAAGTTGTGGAGTTATACTAATAATACAGATGAGGTCCAGCCAAAATCCTCGGCCTCAATTCACATTCCTCTAAAACTAGCTATTGCCAAAATGTAAATTTTGTGAAATGTCCCATCCCTGAAGGGGATGTTACCATTACTGAAGAAAGGAGACAAGCAGTAGACCTGCCTGGCCAGTTACTAACACAAACACTGCTTGGTGCCCTTCTACCGTGGAGATTCAGCTTTTGATCGTGTAGGTGACAGGTAAAATGTAGCCTTCCCCAGATTCTTCTGACACTGCGGTGAAACAGGGACCAGCCAAGCAGAGCAGAGCTGCCCATGCACACACACTGTGAACCATTCCCAGGAAGCAATGGGTGCATCCACGCTGGAGTTCTGGTGTGGATCGGGGAATGAAAGTGAAATGCATAAGCATCTATCTCTGCTTGCTGTGCCTCAGTTCTCATCATGGAACAGTCTTAGAGTGGGAAAACTGGATTTCTTCAGATTAAACTAAACTGACACATGCTGTCCAAGAGCCTAACTCACTTAGAATCATAGAATGCTTTGGGTTGGAAGGGACCTTTAGAGGTCGTCTAGTCCAACCCCCCTGCAACGAGCAGGGACATCTTCAACTTGATCAGGTTGCTCAGAGCCCCCTCCAACCTGACCTTGAATGTTGCCAGGGATGGGGCCTCTACTACCTCTCTGGGCAACCTGTGCCAGTGCTTCACCACCCTCATTGTAAAAAATTTCTTCCTTATATCCAGCCTAAATCTCTCCTCCTTTAGTTTAAAGCCATTACTCCTTGTCCTGTCACAACAGGCCTTGCTAAAAAGATTCTCCCCATCCTTCCTATAGGCCCCCTTTAAGCACTAAAAGGCCGCAATAAGGTCTCCTCGCAGCCTTCTCTTCTCCAGGCTGAACAACCCCAACTCTCTCAGCCTGGCCTCATAGGAGAGGTGCTCCAGCCCTCGGATCATTTTTGTGGCCCTCCTCTGGACCTGCTCCAACAGCTCCATGTCCTTTTTGTGCTGAGCGCTCCAGAGCTGGACGCAGTACTCCAGGTGGGGTCTCACCAGAGCAGAGCAGAGGGGCAGAATCCCCTCCCTCAACCTGCTGGCCACGCTGCTTTTGATGCAGCCCAGGATTCGGTTGGCTTTCTGGGCTGCAAGCGCACATTGCCGGCTCATGTCCAGCTTTCTATCCACCAGTACCCCCAAGTCCTTCTCCGCAGGGCTGCTCTCAATCCCTTCATCCCCCAGGCTGTATTGATAGCAGGGGTTGCCCCAACCCAGGTGCAGGACCTTGCACTTGGCCTTGTTGAACCTCATGAGGTTCACACAGGCCCACCTCTCCAGCTTGTCAGTGCAGACAAGAGCTAGTTAGAAGTAAAAATACCCAACACATAGAGGTGTGAATGCTGGCTCCTAGGCACCACCCATTTCATTCTGTGCACCTGCTCCTACCACTCTGCATCATTTTTTAAAATAGAAGAAACCAATGACTGCAGAGATTTACAGCACTGCAGGCCCTGCCCTGTGGGAGCCTAAAGAATAAGAGCAGCAGGGGATTTGCCTTTTCAAATAGTTTCTTGAATTTATATTTTACCTCCTGCAAAATGAGATTTGTCACAAATGATTCTGCAACTACACACAGAAGCAGCACTGAAAATCTGTATACAAACAGGAGTTGACATAAGAAGGAGCAGAGCTGTTCCTTTGCAATGTCATTAAAGAGGCTAAACAAGGCCCTCAATTGAAAAGGCAAAGCCATGGAGAAATTCCTCTCCCCAGCTACTGTGAAAGGTAATAAACGCACAGCCCAGTGCCAACCTGCAATCCTGTCCTGAGCAATGCTCCCTGTCTCTGCAGGAGAAGTTCTGCCTGAGGCACAATGGCATAAGGACCATTTACACCTTGAATTGCTACCGTACCTGCCACCTTGGAGTTGTACGCAACTCCCACACCGCAGATGTTGTTGTTGGCAGCAGCAGACACCTCTCCCGCACACCTTGTCCCATGGCTGCAAAAGGGAAGACAGAGACACCACGTGAACCCCAGCTAATGCGTGTACTGAATTGAGCTGGATCACCGCAATCTTGGTTTTGCCTCATAGTCAGCTCCCAGCACTTCAGAGGAAAACCGTTCCATGGCAAATCGTTGAGTGCTGTACTTGGATACTCGGATGAGCTCATTCGTTCCTGAAGCAGGAGATAATCAATTTCCCCTCTGCAGTATGAGCGATGCTTGCTCTGAGGTTAACATGCATACTTACACTTCATTTAGCTGTGAAGTTATTCAGACCTTTTCTTTTTAACTCTGTCAAACAGGTTCTGCCTTGTTACCAACTATTAGTCAGTAGAAGCAGTCCCTTGACAGAACACTGTAAAAATAAGATCAATACAAATTCCTTTATTTTTGTGACTTGACAGTCTGATAGCCATTATTTTGAACCCTACAGAACAAAGTCTGATTGCCTTTTTGCTATTCGAACATATATCAGGAGAGCATCCCTACCCACAAAAAAAAAAAAAAAAAAAAGCTATGGAAAGAGGTAGGTGCACTATCAAGCTGGTGTAGCAGAAGGCAGCCACAAGGATCACTGCACCCCTCAGTAGCAGAGCCGTGGCCTGGCTGGCCAGGCCCAAAGCTGGCCAGACCCAACGCACATGCATCCCTCTGCTCCAGTGCCTAACTCCCAGGAGAGCTGTTCAGGTGCTCCAGCTGTCAGCTCACAGAGCTACTGCTTTCTGCTCAAGTGGGAAACGTCTCTGCTCTGACACGGAGGTCCAGGTTCGGGCTGACACATGGCATTTCAAGAACACTTGGCGTCTCTGAGGTGCTTTACAGCTCTTAACAGAGACCCTTTAACTGGCAGTGGCTCTGAGGCAGTCCTGCAGGAAGGCAGATTGCATTTTCCTTTCTCCTAACTCATCACAGAAATTAAACCACAGAGAAGATAAATATGGACAATATAATTTAGTTTTTAAAAAACAGCACAGCAGCAAGGAAACTAGTGAAACCTGTGCTTCTGTCAGGTTTTTTTAAGTTTAAGATGTTGAATCGGTATGAATCCATCCTACTGCTCACATCAATCCACTCTGTGCATTAAAACTGGCATTGCTCCTATAGCATGCTAAGGATTCATGCAATTAGCAGTGCTGTATTATCAAGTCTATATGGAGTACCACATGAACCATCCTGGGAGGCAGCAGAATTGTTTTGTTTTAATCATCTTTTTTCTCTCTCTCCCCCTTTAAGCATCTCTGGCAAAGGTGACTGTAACCTTAATAAAGGGGTGAGAAGCGACACATTCTTTTTCCTCGCTGTACTTGGAAGAATATATTTTTAAAGGCAGCTCCATGAAAGAAAATTACTGGCCTTGAATGTACACAGTGTCTTGATCATGAAAGGATGAAGATCTCATGTGAGTTCCTTTTACAAAGGAGGCAGAGACAGAGCGATACCAATTTCTTATTCAGCTGCTGGAGACATTTCTTTCAACAATCAAGTAGGTTTTCCCTCATGCCCTTGTTCAAGGAACTGTGAAAAAAATATACCGTTGCTAGGCACTCATTATCTAGTCACCTGTGGGCTAGCTACAAGCCACAGAGCAGAATAAATGGCTTTGTTAAAAAATTGTCTTGACTGATGCTGGGGTGCAAAAAAAATCGGTGACACTGCCAGGTGAGCTCTTTCTCTCACAGAGGGGAAAAAACCTATATTCCTGGTGAAAAAATTTTATCAGAAGGTCCTCTCCCCCACCTCGCCTCCCCAGCGCCCTGGACCACATGATGGAGACTGCAAGCAGACCTGTTCCAGCAGCTCAGGGTTTAGACACCATGCTGCTGACTGGAGAAAAAAAAAAAAAAAATCACATGTGAGTTAGTGGAAACACATTTGGTTGAATTATTAATAGCGAATAGCAGACTTTTCCAATTTAGCCCTATTTGCTGTTCAGGTATCATTGATAAACCCATTGTGGTTTCTATGAAGTGACCCATGTCATAGGCGCAAATCACAGCTTTTCTCTCCAACGTTCACCTTTTCACTATTATTTCAATGTTCAAAACAAGGGGATAGAAAACAATTAAGAATATTTTCAGCTATGAACAAGTTACTTCAAAGGTAAACCATATAGTACCATGCAGAGCAAGTTTTCCATAAACATGGAACCTACAGTACCAGACAACAACTTTCACAGATTATTCAGCAGTGCTCCAAGGACAGATGAAGAACCTATGAATGCCAACAGAGATCATTTTGACACATGACTAAACTTCCCTCCCCCTTTCTTCCCTCCCTGCAAACATTTTACATGAACGTTCGTGAAAACCTAAGGTGGGAGAGGGTGATTCAATTGAAAGTCAGTTTTGCCTTCAGCTGGTTTAAATAACGTATCTGTACTAGTTATGAAAATTTCACTCTGCTTCGTCTTTGAAAATTATTTCTATATCTAAAACCCACTGCCGATGCTATTGTGCATGCCCTTTTTTCGACACATTTTTAGTCAGAGGTGGCACAGATTTTCACTGGGGTTCCTTTTTATCCGCTTTGAAATGCTTCTGCAGACAGCAAAGGACAGGATTCACCCTTCCTAACTTCAGCTGTCTGCCAGGGGAGGGCTATGCAGTGCCGCAGTCTCAACAGCTGGGACAATCTGCCTCCTATCTTGACCACTTTAGTTGCTTGCACTGGGCAGCGGTTTAATATCCAAGGCTCAGAGGGACACTTTTGTGGGGCAAATGCCATCCTCTTTTTACTCACATGACATTGTCAGCTTCTGAGCATTTGAGTGTTTGCACAAGTGAAAGCGCTCCCCTACTTTGGGGAATGTGCCACTGCCTGCATCCAAACACACCAAGAACCAGCAGTAGTGCTGTGGCTCTTCCTTGACACTTGTGTCACAACGCTGCAGGTAGAAAGAGCTGCTAAATCTGTTTATACACATTCTCAATGTTGTTTCCATTGTATTGATTGAAAAATGAGAAGGAGGGGAGCAGGTATTTTTACCCTGTTAATGAGCGCTGTCTGGAAGCCAAGGGGAGTTCTTTCCTTGACTCAACGGTGTTTTGTTTGGATCCATAATAAGTAAAGGACATTTCTACCTCTGAAGAATATGGGTTTCCAAGATAGCAAATAATTTTTGCCCAGCTAACTCTTACCTGAGTGAGAGAATATACAGAATACAAAGGCTAGACGAGTGGAAATAATTATTGGTTATTTATATCACGGCAGAAATTCATAATCTCAGTGCTCTGAGATGGGGAGACCCCAGTCATGCCTTTTGCACGCTCACAACAAGAAATCAGAGGGCTGTACAGAAAGGCCAAGCTATGTCTGACTCCTATGGGTACCTCCACACTGTACAACATGGTACATGCTAAGCCACTAGATGTGGTTCAGGAGGAGTGGGTGTTAGAAAAAAAACCACAGGCAATTCCCAAAGTGGTTCCTAAAAACCAGAGTGCTGTGGACAGGCCCCTGGTTTTGGGAACAGGGCTTGGTTCAGGTTCTTTCACTGCTCCTCAAGCTCAAACACAGCCCTGCCCCTCAGGGCACCCAGTGTCCCCTATCCTGGCTTGGTCCCCAAGCCATGGGTCTGAACGCAGTCAGCACAGTAAGCATGGGAATAAATCCCTTGGCTGCCCAGTCATCTATGTGCCTCTCCCCGTAACAGCAGCTGAACTGCCTGACTGCAATTCCCTGCCCGAGGGGTGAATCCCTGTCCCCTTCCAAAACCCACCCTGCTTGAGTTCAAAGGCCAGTGGCTGTTAGGTGGAAAGGCCAAAGTGCTTCCAGCAGCCTTAAAAAGCAAAAATGGAAGGGGAATCTATGCTTACAAGCAGAGCAGCTGCGATTAATGAAATACTCCATGCAAAAACCTCTCCCTTTTTTTCTTAAAGTCTAATGACACTTTGCACATGCAGCTGGCAGCTCACAAAAGCCCCTTGGTTCATCTCTTTAAAAAACAGCCCTCTGCTTCTTGTTCCACAAATCACTTGAATTGCTCACATAGAAATGTATTCTTTATGGAAAAAGGGATATTACGCTATCCTATTTTGAGTCTGATCCTCCTGCATGCATAAAATTCAATGGGAGATACATCACTGACTGCAAACTGAGCAAAATGGAGCCTTTATTGCAGGTTTCTCTGAATGGCTTTTCTGTGTAACTATTCTCTATTCAGATGCACCTTTGCAGCTACACATATGGATAGACAGACTATCATAGGCAGACAGTTGTAACCTACCAGTAATAATAATTCAGGAGTCAGAAGTTATGTAGCTTATATATGAGCACATCAGCTTGATTAACAGTATAGCCAAGAAATATGCAGAGAAAAACATAGTCACGACTGCTCCTGAACAGCTGGATATGATGTGTTGGTTTGCATCTTAGCCTGGAGAAAACATGAAATCTTGCATCTTAAAGCCTTCTTGAATTCTGCAGGCAGGAAAGGGATGCTTTACTGAATGTGTTGCTCCTGTGATTTACCTTGCAAGGTAGAAAATTCCCTTTCTCACCAAAGAAACCTCAACGTTTGTGACAAAGAATGCTATACTTTCTAGGTATCATTTTTTTCTGGAAAGAATAATGAAGGAAATCAGCAAAGCAATTTCTGCATTCCTTTTCTCATCCTGACTTGCTGACTTGAGCTCCCCATCCCCTCAAGAAAAGAAACAGAAGAACGTGTTGCAGTTCTCTGAAAACGAATCATGTTGTTCTCAATAATTATAGACCGGGTCACAGATGACCATGCTGCTCACCCTTGATTCTTCACTTGGGTGCCTGAAGTTAGACAGAGGCACCTGGGGCCACAGACTATAACCCTTGCCACATCCAGGATGCTCGAGGCCCATTTTAAGAGACTTTAGGAGGTAACTCTGCCTCCAGGGCCACTTGCAGAACACGTGAGGACTGCAAACTGTGCCCCACTACAAAATACTTGATAGCAGCACAATCAGTGTTAATGGGGCTTGACAGAACACACTTAGTTTTATGAAGTTCCACACTGAAAAAGACAAAAGCTACCATTACCCACGAAAGCTAAATTTAATTTTCCTCCGTGCTGCTCCAGAGTTAAGTGATCTTTCTCCTGCAAATATCCTTTGCATAAATAAAGCAAGAAAGGCAGCAGACCTTCACAAATTAGAGCCCTCGTCTTTCTCCGACTTTCCATTCACTAATTGGATCCATACTAGCTTAAAAGTGTCAGATGTCCTTTCCCGAAATGAAGGAGAAATCTCATTGGCATCTTGCTTTGGCTGAAAAATGGCAGGACTACAAAGGAGGACATTACAGCTCCTAAATCTGTTTGATCTGTTCCAGAAAGCCTGCATCTGAGGTGGAGGCACAGCTGCTCCACATCTTTGTTGTGCCATTCTGAGAGAATTAAAATTGATTTCTTCAGAAATAAAAACAAAAAGCCCATACAAAACACAGAGGCCATCCCTACACCCATACTAAGTTAGAGATGAAAAACACATCAAATAGGCCTAAAATATTTTTTAATAGGCACTAAGACTGAGCCTTGAAACTTTTAAAAGTTTTCAAATCCTCAGTGCTGCTGCTATGTAAATGCTAGCAACATCAATTATATTTGCATCTAGAAGACTTCTAAAAATGTCACTGAAAATATCCTGAAACAATTTTTACAAATTTACAGACCATGGGGACTATGCCGCAGAGCCAGAGATGCTGGATGCTGAGTTCACCAGGTATTAAACACAGCTCATGGGTGTGCCTTGGACTCTGCACCCTTGACTATGTTAAATCTTGCTAAGAGCAGTTAGCCTGACAGAACGGGCTTTTTCATGGGACAGGTGCAGAATCCAGGGCACTGAGTTTTTTTAAAAACTGTCGACACACATTTCTGTTCCATTCTAACCAAAACTGACTTTTGGGAAACAAAAAAGGTCACATTTCCTAAAATCTGAAGCCTTTCCTTTTGGGCCATTCTTATTTATACCATACCTTGAGGACCAGACCTTCTCCTGCAGGCAACTGGCTAAGTTCTGAACATATCGAAGGAGTGGGTCTTGGGCAATCATGATGTATTCAGGAGAAATAGCACAACAAGCACAGCTGCACTGCTGATTCCAGGTTTATAAACACAACAGAACAGGTTCCCAGTCAGTGTACATGGACTTTAATTCCTCCAGCAGCTAGAATTATCTCAGAATCATCCCTGAAATGCTACCCATGTACACTGCCCTTAAATCACAGTGAAAAGACAGACGATTCAGAACTTATGTAAGATTTAATTGTTTTTAAACCGGCCATTCTACACCATGCTGCTTTTCTGGCTTCCTAGTCTATAATCGGAATTTCCCCCCCCCCCCAGACTTTTCCTGTCTCCAGCTTACTCCCTTTAGAATTAGCTAGCAGTGATACTGTCTCAGACACAGTAGATGGGAAAACAGTCAAAACTGTATTAAGCATATACAGATTTGGGCTACCATAATGTCCTAGGATAGCTGACAGAAAACAGTATGTGGCTATCACCCATTCAAACGATTTACACGTATACTCTTCTGAAGCAGCAACTTCATTTGTAAACCATAAAATGGTTGTTCAGCATTACCTAGAGGCTACCTAAAAAAATGAAGTCAGAAGTAACCTCTAATTTTCAAGCAGTAGTGAGACTGCAGCTTCCGTTTTGGCAACCACAGAATTTAGCAGAAAACAGACATTCCACAAATATCAGCCAATACTTATAATTTTTTAAGCAAACCAAAGTGAAGAGCAGGCTAATCAAAACCCATTTACCTGTTAAACCAGTCATCTGTGTAGCGGGGGTAAGGGTAGGGGTCATTACTGCTGAAGTCATAGCTGGCTTTGGCATTCTGCAAAACACAAAGAGGTTCAGTAAATCAGCAGACGTGCAGGGGAAAGAACACCACAAATTGAAGGGGAGCTGAGAATTGTTAGTAAACTTTGCCCTCTTTGTTCTGCAAGATGCATCTGGATGCAAACTGGTCCCTGTTGTGCATTTCCCACACCAGCGAGCCTGGGGAAAGATGATTTCTGGGGTGCAAAGCCTCCTGCAGACCATTAGTATTTCCAAATAGTGTGGCTAATTGAGAGGTGGTGTGAGAGCTCAGAGTACTACTGAGGGACTGTTCATCAACACTTAAAGGAGTATTTAGGTGTTATGCTACGTGGTGTGGCAGGACAAGGGTTAAACCCTATTTTCCAGGCAGTGCTGGACATGACCAGACACTTGGGTCTTCTATCATAGAATTATTTTTTAAAAACTTGTTTGTGGTACTACAACAAACAGTCATATTTCTGAAAGTATTTCAATGCCTAAAAATGTAAGTTTCTCAAAATTCAAATGTGAAAACTGCATTAGTGGACAGCACATATGTCTGAAAATCCCTTTGCGTATTTTCTTGGTCCTTTAGTTGTCTGAACAAATGCGGCTTTCAGGCGCTTTTGAAAAATGTCATCCCATGTCTCTGCTTTTCATATAAATCTAAATCATTCCTGATTTTGCGCCATCAGCAGAGTTAAGGACACTCAGCAACTTTTTGATGCTATATCTGAGAAGCAAATGGAAAGTTTCAGAGAGTCAAGTGCCATCTTCTTTCTTCTCTCTTAATGAAAAAATAAATAAAGGGTGACTGAAAATTAAGCTTTTAAAAATATTTAGAAGCTTCCTCTGAAGTGTATGTTCACAGAGTTTATATTTTAATAAACACCATACTCAAGGAACAGAATTATGTTAATTCTTAATTAATGTGTACTTGTATTCTTTTTTCAGATTTGGCTGAGCATGCTATTGAAGATAATTTGAGACTCGTGTATGAATAGCTTTGCTCCTAAAAACATTCCCCTTCAGCAGATTCTCAGTTCCTGGGGTACAGGAATAGACAGTCCATTGGCAGCACCAAAGTCTTTGGGTTTTGGATTCAAAACCCCTGACTCTCAAAAACCCTTGTGCCGGAATGAAACAGGGACAAGACTGTCCTTGATCCTTGGAGGGTAAAACTAAGTATCTTTCAAGTTGCTGTACAGTAATTTTTTTGGGTGATCATTTCAGAAAGCCTGGTTGCTTATATTCAGCACGGACAATAAGTATTTTGCAGCATTTGAATGGAGCAGAGATTTGCAGAATGCCTACCACGCAGCTTGATGCTGTTCTCCAGCTCCGACATAGCTGAATCCCTTTGTGAGTATCCTTACTGATCTCTCCATATCTCTAAGCTAAGGCCCTGCCTGGTTTTCAGTCTGAAGATGCTGTCCAATAATGTCAGCTATAGCCACAAATTCTCAGTGCTAATAAGGCTCTGTGCCCAGGTGTAGGTTTAATTTACCTCTTTTAATTACCACAACTGCTTATACAGCACTTTGAACGGCATACATTTGTATGAGCTAAGAGTAAACAGAACATGACTTTTCAGCCAGGGAAAGAAGGGAAATTTGACAGTGGTCTATAAATCATGAATAGCACAGAGAAGGTGGACCGGGAGTTATTATTTGCTGCTTCTCATAACATAAGAACTAGTAGGAATCCATAGAAATTACCAGAGGGGAGATTCAGAAGCAGCAGAAAACAAGAAGAAGTATTTTTCCACAAAACATGTAATGAGTTACAAAATTCATTGCCCCACAGCAATACAGAGGTTAAAAGCCTGAATGAAATAAAAAAAATGGTTAGACAAATTAACAGAAGATAAATCTGGAAGGGGTATTAGATGCTGTGCTTCCTCCTTCTCCCAACAGTCCACAAAACAGTAAATGCTAGAAGCCAGGAGACCACAGTCAGGTAGATACCACAGTCTCTGACTTGGTCACCATACTGCTCCCCAAACACCCACTACTGGCTCCTGTTGGAGGCAGGATCTTGAGCTAGAAGACTTTGGGCCTCACCCAGTGCGCCTGGCAAAAGCCGTGTGGCACAGACATCCCAGCATCCTGGGACGGGGCAACCCCCGGTATCAGTACAGGTTGGGGG